GAATTAATCTTTAAATGAAACCTTTAACGGGTGCGACATGGAAAGCAGAATCTGCTCACCCTACACGAGCACCTGCGATCAAAACCGGTTTTTGGTGGGGTTCTGGTTGCTCAGTTTTTAGTTTTCTATGTTGTGTTTTGTGTACAGTCGTTTGTCCTTTCGTCGTTTTTTGCCATAGATGTCACATGTTTCCGGTTTATTTTCGACTAATGAGTTTGAATGTCCATTTGGAATCTTTCGCCTCAATTCAACAGATTAAAAACTAATAGATGCTAAATAACTTATAAATGGATTGCAGCTGCCATTTGCATAGACTGCATAATAATAAAAATGTTTTCATAGTCATATCATGACATATCAATATTATTTTGGACTTCCATCTCTTTTCATTTTTGAAGGGTTAAATTACTATTATCTGAATAAAAACTGGATATGAAGATAAACTATACTTTGTTACCAACTAAAAATGTAAGCAAACATAAGACATATCGAAATAGAGTAAAAATATCTAAATATGGTTAAATGTATTAAATATGGTAAAACTGTCGTGCATTGAATTTGTTAATCATATTTAATTTGCAAACAACAAATGCAAAAATGTATATTTAAAACAGTAGAATGTTCAGTGGTATATGATATAATTTCGTCGCACGCACACTGAAAAGAAGACTGATGTTAAATGTCCTTTATTCTTTTTCTTTACTTGTAAAACAAAAGACAATTAAATAGTACAGGACAATTTGATTAAATTACTAGGTTTTTTATTTTACAATTTGTTTGAATGCAATCATATTCACGTACATTACATTTGGCATCTAATTTATTCTTTAGTTGACAATCTTTAATGTAAATTATAAATATAAAGGATTTTCTTAGTCATGTTAATAGTTTGATATCATTTACTTACTTTTACAAAAACTATTCTATCGTTTCATAAGTATTCGTATTCACTCACATATGAATTATATATTATTTAAACAATAAATGAATTTAAGTCATCAACAGTCATTTTGGTCATAACATCAACTGAAAAGTGTGAAACTAAAAACGTTAAGTTTTGTTACGATTTTAAGTTATTTTCATAGATATTTTCTTGTGTGTAGATTTTCCTGAATATCATCAGCACATGTCCTAAACATATTGTTTTACACTGTTCTACAAAAAATGCATAATTATTTAAGCGGTGATAAAGCAACAGTCATAATGTCAGCAGTATAGTTATACATATTTGTTTCAGTTAACAAGGCTATGTATATCTCATTCGTATATCATGGAAAACTGAATAGTAAAATGTTATTAAAAAGTTGAAGATCACTGATTTTAACACACGAATTAACACATCGCACATGAACCATAGGTCAGGGGTAATAAAATAAAAATTACCGATCGGCGCTTTCTCACAAATATGTATGTATTCGACGTGATATAGCAAAATATTCACCAGACGGGGCTAAAATACCTCTAGTTTTATACTTGTAAATCTCGTTCTGATATTTTGGTTTTGTCATTTGTTTAAATAAACCTTCTTTAGGAGTACCGGTGTACATTTTATGTTTTTAGAATAGTTTTTCTTTTTGTAAGCTTCGTGTGATCGGTTTAGATTGCTTACAAAAGTTTTCAATATAAGGGAATATTTAACAACTGTCATACAAGTGGCAGGTTTAGCTAGGTATAAAATCAGGTTAAACCTACCATTTTCTTCAGAAAGTGCCTGTTTTAAGTCAGGAATGTGACTGCTGTTTTCCATTCGTTCCTTTGGTTCATACAGTCGAGTGTTTGAGTTTGTCAATGTTTAATGGACTTCACCCTTTTCAAAATCATCTTTGAGTTCGTTTTTTTGTTAATACATCTTAACACGTTAATACAGTACTGAACCATTAATCACGATAGGTAAGCAAGTATCAGCCGTGGAACGAAGTTAAAGTTTTAATGCATAATCTGTATATCTTTACTTTGTACAAGTGACTGGATATCTAATCGGTAGATATGCTGTGTAAGTATCAATTGTGTGTTTTACGACATATTCAGAAAAAGACAATGCGGTTGGTAGTCATGAAAAAAAATCATATAATTATATGATACTGATAAAATCAATTAAACAATAGAACAGTTTTTAAAGTTTGCTATCCTGCCTTATCTGTAAGATACAGAACTTGCATTTCAGCATCCATTTTTAAGGAGATAAATAAAATCCTTTAAACAAAATGTGCAAAAACTATTGTATTCCATGTTGTTTTTAACAAGCCTTAGAATGTATCATTTGTTGTTTTATATCATTTTCTTGAAATATTAACTTCTTTCCTCGATTTGAAATTAATCGTACGACATACAACAACTACACAGTTCAATTAAATTTATTTCAATGTTTTATTAAAGTCTCATCACTCAACAAGTACAATCGATATTTATAAACAGTAAAACAATACCACATAAGATTAGAGTCATTCTATACAGAATTATAAGAGACTATGAAAATGCATAGATATACGACATTGAACAATATAATATAAAATACTATTCACAATAAATAAAATCTCTACGTCTTCTTAAGATTAGATAACAGATCTTGGCACACACATATATCATATTTACATCTGAGAATAAAATCACAATTTTTGGTTGTCAACTCAAATATCAAAATTTGATGTATGTGACATACGGAGAAGAAACGAAAGTGTTCATGTAAAATGGGTTATCTCTCGTTTAACATAACAATAAAAAAAGCCCGAACGTAAAACAAGGAATATACCTTCCTTAAACATAGCTCTTATTTCTTCTCCTGGTTTTGATTCACGTTTGGTCCTATTATCAGACCTCAAATGTCTGTATTACGCTTTGAATTTTCAAATATTTGACATCGAGAATCCCTAAACAGTCACTATTTGTCGAAATGTGCATTTGATGTGGAAAATGTGAATCGTCGATTTTATCAAACATGTTTCACCAGATGTTACATTATTGAATGTCTGATAGGTTCGATATTTATTTAATGTGTTTAACTTTTGCCGCTTGTTTGGACGTCTAATATGTGTGTTATTTGTGACATGTCTTACAAAAGGCCATTGGCAAAACATGTTAACTTTTTAAAATATTACTCAAATTTAAGAGGACACTTCATATATATTGGCTTCTTAAATACAATCGCGTCCCCGTTCCCATTTTGTTTTCTACCGAATAAGACTTATCATTGGGTTAATACTTACATTAGCAACACGACGGGTGTCACATGTGGAGAAGGATGTACATACTTTTACCGGAGCACCAGCTTCCACACCTTACGTTTTGTATGCTGTTGATTTTCTTTTGGTCATTCATTGTTTGAATTTAAATGAAATATGCAGTGTTAAGAATTTTTCGAAAAACTTAAATAAGGAAATAATAACGCTTTCAATATTAGCCGATATAATACATTTACTCTTAACTTTCACTATAATTTCAATTTAGTTAATACAATGATTTATCATTTCGTTTATTTTTCTAATAATATTCGGTCTTTCAAATGTTGGCTTAAAATGAACTTCCGCTGTAAAAATAATAAATAATTATAGTAACTTAATATGTCATATAAACCCAAAAAGTAACACATTACCATATATACATCTATAAAAAGGTGAAAAAAGTGTACGATAACATATATGTATATACAGTTAAAAAGCATTAGTATAACGACAGATTGATTCGTTGGTGTTTGCTTTACTTCCAGTTGCAAACATTTCAAGCATGTTCAGGTCGATATTAACGATGGAAACAATAACATATTTTTTTTTTATTTACTAAAAATATAAGCAAAAATAAATCATGTATCTAAGTATGGTGTACTTGCTAGTAATATTTTTTTGTTTGGCAAACAACTAATGCAAAACTGTTAGTCAAATACAAGATTCAATAATATATTATAATATTTAATTTCATGCACAAAGAATAGAAAACTTCAATGCAATCATACATTCTACTTATAAATAAACTCATCATATATACCAGGATTAAGATTGTGTACGCAAGACGCGTGTTTTGTCTACAAAAGACTCATCAGTGACGATCGAATCAAAAAGTTAAAAAAGCAAAAAAAAGTAAGGTACTCCCTATACAACTATACAATTGTTATCTAATTTCTCCTATTTTTTTTCTGAAGTGAACAATCTTTTATGCTTATAAAAACAAACGGTTTTTCTTAGTCATATAATTAAATGTAGTTTATATCAATCACTTACGTTTACCAAAAACGTTCTACCGTTTTATTGGTAATCATATATTTAGCACACATAAATTTTTATATTAGGCTGAGTAAGTCAACATCTGCAATACCTTTAATCTGGAACCATATTTATGATTTCGAAAAACAACAATCGAAACAACGTACATAAGCATATTATTTCTAATTAAAAGTTTCCGACATCACCAGCCCTAAATTCATTTGTGTTCTTGTCATAACTATATTCGTTTTTTACCTTTACCCCCTCTAATACTGTTTAATACATGTAATACATCAAGTTTTACCTGTGTTATGTTGTCATTTTGGTGGTGGACCATACACACTGGCACATTCTTTTAGATGCCTGAATGCAAATGTAGTGTTGTTGCAGTACTGGTCCAAGAGTGCAACATGAAAAGTCGGCCCTGGGTCTGCCTACTGTGTGATGTCAAATCTATATTTGATTGTACATCAATCCTCAACCAATATAATTTTCGGACAAAAACTTCAATTTAGATAACTAGAGTCCTCTGTTTAAACATATGATAAAGTGATTAATAAATGATAAAATCCGTATCACATCACCCTTGACCAATATCAGCCCTCTGGACTTTTGCCCTGTGGCTGATATTGGATACTTGGCCTGATACAGCATGTGTTACGGATTTTACCATGTATTATTCTCTATGTATCGCTGCTTACGCAAGGAGACAAGGAAAACACAACAAATCAAATAAACACTTATACACGGATTAAGGAAATTTTATATGTGAAATTTTCTAAAAGAACACAACATGAAGATGTCAACTATTTGATGAATCAAATTTATTACAATAAAGCAAGTAATCGGCAGTTTTGAAATATAACACACATCTATAAAAAGGTGAAAAAAATGTACAGTTAAAAAGTATTATTTTAACGACTGATTGATTGGTTGGTGTTTGCTTTACTTCCAGTTGCAAACATTTCAGGCATGTTCAGGTCGATATTAACGATGGAAACAATGACATATTATTATGAAAATTTCTTTCTACTTTTTTTTATTTACACAAAATATAAGCAAATACAAATAATATATCTAAATATAGTGTACTTGCTAGTAATATATTTTTTTTGCAAACAACTAATGCAAAACTGTTAATCAGATACAAGATTCAATAATATATTATAATATTTAATTTAATGCACTAAGAATAGAAAACTTGATGTTGAACGTCCTTATCTAAGATTCTCTATTTTGCCTGTCAAACAAAAGACAATTAAATTGTGTAGGACAATTAACTTAAATAACCAGGTTTAGTTTTCAATACTGTCTGCTTCAATGCAATCATATACTCTACTAAATGTATAAATAAACTCATCATATATACCAGGATTAAGATTGTGTACGCCAGACGCGTGTTTCGTCTTCAAAAGACTCATCAGTGACGATCGAATCAAAAAAGTTAAAAAAGCAAAACAAAGTAAGGTACTGCCTATACAACTATACAATTGTTATCTAATTACCCCTAAATTTTTTTCTGAAGTAAACAATCTTTTATGCTTATAGAAATAAACGATTTACTTAGTCATATAATTCAATGTAATTTGATATCATTCATTTACGTTTAGCAAAAACGTTCTACCGTTTTATTGGTAATCATATATTTAACACACACAAATTTTTATATCAGGCTGAGTAAGTCAACATCTGCAATACTTTTAATCTAGGACATATCTATATTTTCGAAAAACAACAATCGAAACAACGTACATAAATATATTATTTCCAATTAAAAGTTTCCGACATCACCAGCCCTAAATTAATTTGTGTTGTTGTCATAACTATCCTCGTTTTTTACCCCTGGCTGGTTTCCTTTTTGACCAGCGACGTTTCCTTCTATTGTTTCCGACATTTCCGGCCTTAAATACATTTGTATTTTTGAAATTATGATTCTGGTTATTGCAAATACTTTTGTTTCCATTTGCGGTATTTTTATTTCCTTCGTTGTTACTGCCGATACTCCAGTCACTTTTCACTTCAGAACGTTCAAAATTTCCTTCCCCAATTTCATTCGTAATTTTATTCTTGTCGATGTTTCTATTGCCACTTGTACAGTTATGATCGCCTTTATTGACACTTCCAATGCTCCACCTTTTTCTGTAGAAAAATAAATAGTTATGATCATAATGCAATGTATAAATTAAGGCTACAGCAATCTACCAATGTTCAAATCTCATTTATCACTTTAAAAAGAGGCGAAAGATACCAAAGGGACATTCAAACTCATAAGCCGACAATACACTGACAACGCCATGGCTAAACAAGAAAAAAGACTAACAGACAAACAACAGTACACAAAACACATCATAAAAAGACTAAAGACTGAGCAACACGAACCCCACCAAAAAACTGGGGGTGATCTCAAGTGTTCCTTAAAGATAAGCAGATCCTGTTCCACATGTGGCACATTAAGCAGACAGAGCAAGGTACAAACAAACAAAAACTTAGAGAAGTACATACACTCCAAAGGATGCGACGTCGGGTGCGTCGGTAGGTATAGTGTCTCCTATGCGAGCTTTTCAAATGAAGCGAATCAAACTCGGTCAAAATGTCAAAATTGGAAATAAGACAAATTGTTAAAATTGCAGATTAAACGACTTTTATTTTATTTAAAGATCTAAGACCATTGAACCACATCGCTAGTGCATTTAGGTACTGACACATCCTTTTGGTCAACCACTACGTGATGTTGACTGTAAAACTATGAAAAATATAAGGAAATGAATTCCTCTCCCATGCTTTGAGTTTCTTACATAACCTTTCAAAATGGGTTTCAAAGTCAAGCCCTGTAGAAAGTGTCAAATTCAGGAATATTCCACACATAGAACAATCTGCGGTTGTTAAATTTTAATAGTCCCTCCTCACCTCCATTTCGTATATTTTTAACATCGATCTGTTCTATCTGTTATGAAACATGTCTCAAGTGAGCTTAGAAACTGAAACCCTGTTCTGATCCACCAACCCATGATGGTAACCGATAAACGTTCGAACTAATATTAACTTTCACAAATATTTTGTCATTATTGAGACGACAAAAACTTGGGCAGATAGTATGCTACTGCTTTGTCATGAAAAGCTGTCCATTAGGAAAACTGAAATCATCTAGTTTGAAAATTTCACGAATATCAAAAAAATATATATATAAATGACACATGACTATCAAATTCTATGTAACATATTTATTTGCAAGTAACAAAATGAAAAATCATATATAAATACTCACTGTAAAATGACTTTTGACCAAATTTGAGTGTATGCTGTGTAATTGTAGAATTCAAATATAGATTATAACTTATATATTTTTTCAGTAAGCTTTGAATGTAGTGTTTAGTAGACAGTTAACCAGTATACCATTTATGATATGAAATGGTCAGGTCGATCAGAAGGCTCCGAAATGAATAATTATTAAGTCATTTTCTGTCTTTTCAGTCAATTAGTAGACTCATCCACTGCGGAAAATTCAGTACTGTTCAGACAATTTCCTTGCAGTCGATTAGGAACTGTACACTCAATGTTCAGTCCGTTCAGTAATTAATAATTAACTGTACACATTGACAACATACTATATTGTCTGAAAAGGTATTGAACAGTACTTAATTGACTACAAGCAAAATGTCCGAGCATTACTGAATTTACCGCAGTAGATAAGTCTGAAAGACCTAGTATAACTTATTGTTTTGTTGTTCATAATTTTTAGACGACGTAAAGATACAAGTGATCGTGTTTGTCGTGGTACATTGATCGTCTGTTTTTCTTCCACTTATGAAGGAATTATGATAAATCTTTCAGCAACTTCTGCCTCATTTTAACTAGACATGAACAAGTATTTTATTAATTAAAGTTTATAACCCTCCGAAAAATAAATTACAGAATTAATCAACTTTGAATTGATCTTAATCATCTAAAGCATATATTTTACCTGCGATTACTGATTCGAATATCACTTAAGTCATATCTTTTTTCTATTTCGAAATCATTATTTCTGCCATATATTTCTTCAAAATCTGCATTTCTCTTTTGAATTGCCATTCCTAAAATTATACAAAAAAGCCGTATTGTGGTATTCATTCTTGAAAAACGCAAACCATAGTGCAAGTTCTTTAGAGATTAGTGTACGAGTATTTAGTTTTTGCTACTGAAAACAGAAAAAAAACACCACTCAAGAGCCCCTCCCCTCCCGACTCAAGATGATGACTTTTGGCACTATTGTTAACGTTTTGTAGACTTTCCAAACATTTGTGTGCTCAGTGTTATTCACTTTTACCGACGCTATATTATTTTTTTCATACATCTGTTTTTCTAAACTCAAATTGACATAATAAATAATGCAAGTTGGTCAAAATGACTGTAACAAGCGCTGGATCCCAATTTCATTATATTCAAATTGAGATGTTGTGTGATTGACAATGAGAAAACAATAAACCAAAAACCAATGGGCAATGGCAATAATAACTAACTGTGCCGCCATCAACACTAGACCAGAACCCAAATCGTAAAGTTAGCTTTAAAAGGCGGAAATGGAAATATGAAACAAAATACTTGATGCATCTTGAAGGTGTTAATCAAGTTGACATTAATACCTTTTCTACTTTGAGAGGGTAATTTAAATGAAGTTTGTCTTATAAATATTATTTAGATTATCTCAATATCACTGTTTTTGTAATATGTGTTCTTAACGCATACCTTTCGTGCGCAGGATAAGTCTCATAAAAGCTAAGGATTGCTCGAAAAAACCCTAATATAAATGACTTTTATTTTGGAATTTTGTCAATACAATATTATCGCTGTCTTATGTAATGTAGCAAAATGTATTTTTAAGGAAAGTCAGGTTGGGTTAGCATGTTTATTACAACTTCCATTCGATTATTGGATCAAAACTCACATGCACTTAAAACTTGTGTCTTACTGGCCGAGAAATTTATGTTTTGTAACCAGACGGGTTTGTAAAATTTCATATTGGTAAAAAGGGAGTCTTTCCAAAAATATTTTCTCAAAAAAAAGAAAATTATAGCTGTCATAAAAAGAAAGTACACTGTTGTAATCATTTGAGAAGGTCATATAAAAAAAAGTATAAACTAACTCGCATTTTTTTCTAAATCATTTTGCCCATTATATGCAGATATAAGACAAGAAATTATAATGTCATTTGGAAGCCTACAATTAACTGTACCAATGGAACACTGAATTACAAAAAAATGTACTATTAAACGGCTCAAATCTGACATTAGTTTATTTCTTATGTTACAAAGTTTCATTATTCAATCTAAAAGGTTTACAAACTAATAAATCACACAATATATCTGTAAGCAGTTCATCTTAATAGTAGCATTTTTTTCTTTTTTCCCAGTTCATCATGAAACTCAACTGACATTGCCGATATCTATCTCATGTAACAGAGTATGTGAACTAGTAGTTTTGATATATTTCTGTATATTGTATCCAATTCAACAAGGAGACAGATTAATATAACACTTGTTGCTTGTTTCTGAATCCTATTTGCCATAACGTGAATATATATTGTATAAGATGTATCTAATTTTATAATAAAATATTGTTTTCACTAAGGGCCCAATAAGCAAAAGAAAGAGGTATGTTAAGAGCCATATGAGGCCTTGATAATGTAACTATATTTTAAAAACATTCAATATGATATTAATTTCAATGGAAATGAATAGATTCTAGTCACATAAGTAGATATATCCTAAATAGACATTTTTGAAAAGTCATCTATACAGACACTTACACCGACACCGATACCTACACTGACTACAAAAATAGAGGGACCGTATCAAAATGTCAAAACATATTGAATGAATGACCTCGTAAAACTTGGTTGCATATATCAAAAATCAGTCTGTATTTTTTTTTTATATGAATTATAATTCACTAAGAATCGAAGCTAGAAACACCGAATGATCTGATTAGTTTGAAGTTTATTTTAAGTAATGAATTTGTGATATTCCATCTGATTTTGTAATTGTCTCCGTTTGCAACCATTCAAACGGAATACAAGCGGTAGAAGATATATACAATTGGCGAATTGAATTGCTATAAAGAATGCGTATATAAAATCAATATAAATGAACGGGTCTTAGGATTTGTAATTGATGTGAAGGTGATTCAAATATAAAATAAAAATGGTTGTAGTGTAAAATTCCACCAAAAATGAAATGACGAAAGTAAAAAATAACTGCCAAAAGTAAAACGAAATGTAAAAAGTAATACAAAAAAGATAAACACCACAAAGAAACAACATTTTGCATAAAAAAAAAACTTAAAAACTATTTTGTCGAAATTCTCAAAAATAAAATTTCCCAAAATTGAACACAAAAATAAAATTTTCACAAAATCCCTGCTCCCCCGCCCATCCATTCAGAAAAAAAAATATAGGTATATTAAGGTTAACATATTTGACAACGCGCAGCAACACATTTGTGGAAAAAAGGTATAAAAATTAGTAATTGAACGTCTCATCAGAAATTCGTGTTCTTGGTGTTATAAGGGGTGTAAGGAATTTTACAATGCAATTTTCATCACCTGTGCCACCAATTCCGTACATCCCTGATTACACAAAGATAACACATAATATCATTTATACATTTATACATTCTGTTTCACGCTATACAAGGCTTTCATGTTCCTGTTTCTGACTAAAGTTGAGATCTATTAATTTAAACAAAGCCCCTCTAAGTACAAAGTACAATTTAAGATCGGTCAATTCCCAACACAGCTTATAAAGTAGCAAATCATTCAAAATAAAAGTTTTATACAGTATTTAAAATGTAAATTAGAAAAAAAAACATTATACAAATGCCTGTGATCGGTGTACACATTAAGATGACCCCGTCTTCAAAAGGTTACCTGTCGTCATAAGCATAGGTGTAAGCGTCGGTATTGAATAGTTTTCCAAAATGTCTTTTATGATTTCACACAAAATGACTTTAAAATAATCTGCCACAAAAAACTTTTGTAAATGTTTGCAAAATACACTGTTTTGAACAACAACTGTGATGAAGATAATCATTTGCAAACAATAAAGTCTATACATAACACAAAATAATCGACCAAAAGAGAGATATTTGAGAATTAAGATAGAAGCAAATTTTCAGGTCCACGAAAATACATTTCTATTTATATTACTTGGTTATATACTATTCTTTGCAGTCAGTGACGAAACAAAAGAATGCTTTCATGTCTGTCAGATGTAAGTGGACACATTTTCAACTAATAGTAAAGCAACTTTTATGGAATGTTTATAAGCAACTTTTTGTTTTACTTTTTTGGTATAATTTTCAACATAAGTGCCTTACCATAGACTGTCAGAAGCAAACAGCTAAATATTACTTCACCCCTCATTATCAACTGTTTTCTAATATAGAAAAAGAACTACACAACATTAAGGTAGCTTATACTCTAGGCCACAACGATACAATTTTATGTTTGTTGATATTTAGTAACCTAATGTGTAAGAACAGAGTATATTTTAGAGCTTGTATCAAAGTAGCAGTCTATGAACCATTGCATCATTAAAGAAAAATATATATAGATTACTAGAATATCAATATCACTTGACGAAAAAGTCTATATTAAAGTTTACTATCAGGGGAGGGGTGTTTTCTTATGTATTAAACATATTAAATCATCAGAGATACATTAAACAAATCTGTTACTGAAAGTTTGCTTTAAGAAAAAAACAATATATGTATGCTTTCATTTATATCAATACTGATTGTTTTTACTGTATGTTGCAATTTCTCACAAGCTTTTCTCAATCAATCTATTTCAAAATGCAAAATAATAAGTAAAACTAGGACAATTAGAAATCCCTGAAAAGAGAAGAATCTCAATACATTTATATAAGGCCTCTCAATAATAAAAATAACAGATTTCTCTTTGACGAAACGGATATTCGGGATAAAAGTAGCCAGGGAGACAAAAACCAAAGGACAACTGCAAGTAATTACATGCTCAATGAATAATAATTCGAATATTCAGATTTATTGTATTGAGTTCTAAATGCATGTAATTTCTCTTACGTCCGAAATACTGCTTAATTGACTTAAGACACAGTACTTTAAATTATATTTCCTAAGCACACACATTTGTACTTATGGTAGTAGAGTATGCGTTTCCTCAACCCTGCGCCTCTGTCGAAGAACAAACCCTTTACAAATTTGAGCTTATTCAGCTTGCGTAGACAGCATCATAGACTAGCTTATTCTCCTAGTTTGTGTTTGTTACATTGGTTTTTATCTTTTAAATTGATGGGAGAAATTTGAACATAGGTGAACTACTGTAGTATAAATTTATAAAATCCACTTATTATCTTACAAAAGTAATTGGAAAGAATAGATTGTATTAAATCTAGGCTATGGACAAGATGAACGCATTATTTTCAAGTAAATTGAAACAAAATAAAACTTACCTTGACGTTCCGTTGCAGTATACAGCCTTACCAAATGGGTGACTTTTTATATGTTTGATCAAGTTTAAACCAATCAGAAATAGGCTTCTCATGCTTCAGAATGTGTATATTTAGCAATCCTTGATTTATATTTAAACAAATTTAGACTTGAAAGAAGTAGGTATATTTTGTTACATATCGTAATTTGCTGTTGGTTGAACTGGAAAATGCAAAATTGTTTTACAAAATTTGTTTTTAAATTTAAAAGAAACAGTTAGTATAATAACGTATTCAAAGTTGTTGATGTGTGACGAAATGTGCATTAATGTATACCTGTGGTGAAAGATTATATCACCTCCCTACATAAATAAATATAATGAAAATGCAACCATTAAATGTTCGTCACAATATTTTCTACAATTTCTAAAAAAAAAAAAATACGCTTACTGTCTCCTTTATTTTACTTTTTGCATTATTTAAGCAAAATAAGAGATGCATAGTAAACTTTATAGAGCAGCAACCGAACATCTTATATCAAAAGATATCAAATAGCGTAATGGTATTTTCTGCATTTAAAGAGATAATCCTGTTTTATTTGATATTGCATACAAATGCTGTAGCTATTGTTTAAATTAATAACATCTAAAAAAAAGAATATATTTTGTTTGATAGAAATTATAAGATGTGGTATGAGTGCCAATGAGACAACTCTCCATCAAAGTTACAATGTGTAAAAAGTAAACAATTATAGTGGATCATTATCATGGTCATTTAATTATATATGAATGCAAGTTCAAATAGTGTCACCTAGACGTGCGATTCGTTGTTAATGTTGAAGATTCATAAGGCTTGGGGGGGGGGGGGGGGATTTTTATTTATACAACTTGGTTAAAATATAGTTGAAAACTATACTGTTCCTATTTCTAATTATATTGAGTAGTTTATATTGATCTCAAAAATACCAATAAAACACAATTAGTCTATCGTAGACAAACAAAAACGGTTTGGCGTACACAATTATTTCTGGTACCTTTGATGTTTTTATACACAAAGTACTAAAACAAAAACTAGGCAATATCCTATTCAAGAATGTTACAATTTACTGAAAGCAAACTCATACTATTTTACCTGCTGAGATTGTATTTTAAGAGATTGTATATATTGTACATATTTTGTCAAGTGATTAATATGTTTCACATACTCTGGAAACTGTTAGAAATTATTCAATGATGATATACTTGCGTTCGAATATACCAAAGAGGTGCTATAAATTCATGAATCGGGAAAAGAGCAACCTCACTTATAGCAAGGGATATGGTATGGAAGGTGAACTATTGTAGTTCTGCACACTTGAGCAGTCCGTTGATATGTCGTTTTTGCGATTATTTTTATTATAAGTCTTAACAGAGTGAGAGTAGACGTAATAGTGGCGTAACGACAAAATGAACCTTTAAGGACGGTCTACAAAGTCGTGATGGTATCAGTACTCGTGAACAGAAGCTGTATTGAAAGAAATAAGTAAAATAACAAAAAACACCGAACTCCATGGAAAATTCAAAACGGAAATTCCCATATCAAATAGCAAAATCAAAAGCTCAAACACATCAAACTAATGGAAAACAACTGTCATATGTCTGACTTGGTACAGGCATTTCCTTATGTAGAAAATGGGAGATTAATAGAAAATGAAAAGAATTAAACCTGGTTTTATAGCTAGCGAAACCTCACACTTGTATGACAGTTGCATAAATTTCCATTATATTGACAACAACGTGTGAACAAAACAAACAGACATAAAAGGAAAAAGTCAAAAATAAGGGAACAGCAGTCAGCATTGTGTAATAATCTTAATCACTATAAAAACAAACAAATATGTCAACAAAGAAAAACAAAATGGCATATAGATAAAGCACACAAGCAAAAATGAAAGAAAAGAATACAAAAAAGACCATAGCACAATAACACAATGGCGGGATGTACAAGTACCGAGCCACGCCAAAAGGATATTATCAAAAATGGACTAAACAGTAAAGGTTAATAGTGTACAAAGACAATAAAAGAACACTATAACACGTAATAAAGATGATAAAAAACGTCAGTACCTAGAATGTATACTTCAAGACCATCGTGTATTATTTGTGAAGTTGATACGGAATATTTATCAACAAGGTCTTGGTATCTTACTTCCGATGAATTTTTTTAGAAAAAGGACGAGACGTTCTTTGACATAACCCTAATTCATCAACTTTCTCATGAGACACTGGTGACGTTTTAATAGCTCATAAATTTTGTAGGTCTAAAGCGCTTTCCCGAGTCTTCATTCGTCAGGGACGTTCAAAACCTACGCATTTGAAAGAAAAATAATTATGAACGTAATCTATGGATTACTGGTAAATTATTAAGTCAGGGATTTCGTTACCAAAAATTAATTAAAACCTTTACTAAATTCTTCCATAGATATTAAGATTTGGTTTTGAAGTTTGGTTGTACCTGTAGAAAACTTATTTCAAACGGGAAAGCACATCCTCATTTTTACGGAGATGTTGTTTTCCAAGCCCGGAAATTAAGAAACGATCCCGTTAAACTTATCGATCCTTTAAATAAATTTAATCGAAAAGGTTACCAATTCAACACTGTAATTAGATCTTTGAACATTGTTTTATTGGTATTAATATTGATTTTGTTATCAGTAAATCAAAATCAAAATAAATATTATTGTTATATACATATGCACATTCATGACTCTACAATCTGTCGATACCTTTATGTAGTATTGCACAAAGTCATGTTTTTCTCTGACTAATTATGACGTCTTTACACTAAATCCATTTGATGTTTGATGTGTACTGATTGATATTTTAGACTTAGATGCATGACTTTTTTATTAGTTGTTATTGGCTTTGAACTAGCTGTCAGTAACTGCGAGTACTCTCAGATCTGTGCGAAGTGTCTTTTTGTTGTTTGCATGAACAAGTACCCGTCCACGTCCACTTTGTGTTTTTGTTGGATGTATTTTTATTTGTATTCATCTGATGAGTTAAGCCTTTTTCAACTGATTTTTATAGTTTGTTCTTATGTTAAACTGTTACACCACTGTCCCAGGTTAGGGGAGGGTTGGTGCCTTCAGACTAGATTAATCCCGCCACATTCTGTATGTGCCTGTCCTAAGTCAGGAACCTGTAATTCAGAGGTTGTCGTTAGTTATTTGGTTTCATAGTTGTTTTTAGTTCATTATTTTGTACATAAATAAGGCCGTTAGTTTTCTCATTTGAACTGTTTTACATTTGTTATATCGGGGCCTTTTATAGCTGACTATGCGGTATGGGCTTTGCTCATTGTTGAAGGCCGTACGGTGAATTATAGTTGTTAATTGCTTTGTCATTTGGTCTATTGTGGAGAGTTGTCTCATTTGCAATCATACCACATCTTCTTTATATATATATAAGATATATCTTTACTGGAAACAAAACTTCTTAAATACCGTTGCAACTGTGATCGATTGATTCAGAGCTGTAGTTTTATGCCACTTTCGGCTCACTTTCCGTCCAGTTTTTATTGGTGGAGGAAGGTACTTTATTAAAAGCGAACTTCCAACCTTTGGTATCAAAACTTGCTGTCCATATCAATTAAGACCGGAGTCGAACGCGATTGACCATGAACGGTGTGAAAAATCGCAACATTAGTGTTAAAAGGCCACTGATGATCGTAAAGGAACAACTTGGACGGTTCAGCCAACAAGATCCCGTGAAAAATAAAGGGATATGTACCCTATATACATTTGCCGCTTGAATTGTGTACTCCAAAATGAAAATTTAGATATGTTGGCTTGCAGTTTAGTTATAATCGATCTCTGACGGTCGATTCATAAGTGAAAGTCAAAAATATCAAACCTATATCAAATTCAATAGAATATATGCGATCAAAGTTAAAATTTTGACTAGAACTTGTTAAGTCATTGAGAATAT